TTTCATATCCTGCCAATTTAAGCTTTACATTTGAAGGAAAAATAAAATCTTTTAGGAACAAGCAAGTACTCAGAGATTTTATTACCACCAGGCCTGCTTTACAAGAACTTCTAAAAGAAGCATTATACACAGAAAGGAACAACCAGTATGACCCTTTCTAAAAATACACCAAAAAGTAAAGAGCATTAACATAAAGAAGAATTTTTATCAACGAAAGGACAAAATACCCAGTTAATAACAAATGGCAGCAACCCTAAATTTAAATCAACCAAATCTCCCAATCAAAAGATACAGACAAAATCTAACAGTATATCCAAAGATATACATAGACTGAAAATAAAGGGTTGGAAAAAAAAAAAACAAAAACGTACCAACCAAATGGAGAGCAAAAATAAATAAATAAGAAGCAGGAGTTGCAATTTTCACATTTGACAAAATAGATTTCAAAGCTACAAGGATACAAGGGTAAAAGGATTAATGTAATAATAAGAGATCTTAACACCCAGATACATAAGACCCATAATGAGATTTAGATTTAACGAGACAACAAATTGATAACGATACCTGGGACTGGAACTAAGATCCAGAACAAATAAACTCAATAGAGCTCTCCATTTTAAACACACAAAATATACATTATCCACAAAATCTAACGATATATCTAAAGATATACAAAGACTCAAAACAAGGGGATGGAAAAAAACTCACCAACCAAATGGAGAGCAAAAATAAATAAATAAAAAGCAGGAGTTGCAATTCTCACACTTAATAAAATAGATTTCAAAGCTACAAGGATGCAAGGGTAAAAGGATTAATGTAACAATAAGAGATCTTAACACCCAGATACATAAGACACATAATGAGATTTAGATTCAACGAGACAACAAATTGATAACGATATCCAGGACTTGAACTCAGAGCCAGAACAAATAAACACAATAGAGGTCTCCATTTTAAACACATAAAATATGCATTAACCACTTTAAACACTCAAAATATTGATCGGCCATTATTGAAACCCATTTTAGGAATGAAGTAATATTCCTTTTTCCCTCTTTTTCTTTTTTTCCCCTTCTTTTTCTCTTTTTCCCTCTAAAAAATAAAAAAAGAAAAAAATAATTAAAAAAATAAAATAAAAAATAAAAAAAAACAAAAAATTAAAAAATAAAAAAAAACTGCTCTCACTGCATTACTCATACAAGCCGTATGTCGGAATGAATTGTTTCCTTTAATATCTTGTGAAATGAAACTGTGTAATAATACATATTGGAACATTTGGAAAATGGAAATAACTCACCTATTATCCTGCTAGGTAATTAACTTCCTCCCCACATTTACTGCCCACCATCATCTGTGCCCTCCTACTCTGCGGTCCCGTCCCTCCTGTTCCCCTAGATGGAATGACTGCCTCATGTCCTACCTAGTGCCAGGTCATCTCTCTCCCCTCATGCACCCCCCGCCCCGCCAAAGACATGACTATCACGATTTCTCTTTCCTAAAACTCCAAATTTTTCTTCTACTTGATCTTGCAGATCTCCTTCTTGGCGGCGCGGGGCGGGGCGGCGGTATTTCTAACCCTCTTAATTCCACTCCTACAGCTTCCTCCCCATGACTCATTAGCAGAGACCCTTGAAAGAGTTGCTGCTATAATGTCTCCGGGAAAAAAAAAAGAAAAGAAAAGAAAAATAAAAAAACAAACTAGAGCTGGGCGCGGTGGCTCATGCCTGTTATCTCAGCACTTTGGGAGGCTGAGGCAGGTGGATCACGAGGTCAAGAGATCGAGACCGTCGTGGTCAACATGGTGAAACCCCGTCTCTACTAAAAAAAAAATACAAAAATTAGCTGGGCATGGTGGTTCGTGCCTGTAGTCCCAGCTACTCGGGAGGCTGAGGCAGGAGAATTGCCTGAACCCAGGAGGCGGAGGTTGCGGTGAGCCAAGATCGTGCCATTGCACTCCAGCCTGGGTAACAAGAGTGAAACTCCGTCTCAAAAAAAAAAAACTAACTAAACTTAGGCTCACCATAAGAAACAGCAATTGTATTCCTAGGCATTTATCCCAGAAAAATAAAAATTTATGTCCACATAAAAACCTGTAAATAAGTGTTCGTAGCAGCTTTATTTATAATAGCCAAAATCTGGAAACAACCAGAATTTTTTCAACGGGTAAATGGCTAAACTGTAGTGCAACCACAGAACACTACACGGCTATAAAAAAGCATGAACTATTGATACATGCAGTAACCTGAATGGATCTTAAGGAATTTATGCTGCATGAAAAAGCCTCAAAAGATCGTATACTGTGTGATTCCATCTATACCACATTCTCAAAATGGCAAAATCACAGAGACAGGAAACACATTAATGGTGGCCTGGGGCTAAGAACGTTGAGGGAGGGAGGACTGGGCATGACCACCAAGAGACGGCAGGAAAGAGATCTTGGGGGTGATGAAGTGGTTCTGCGTCTTGATTACTGTGGTGGCTACAAGAGTCCACATGTGGGTGAAAGGTACCTGGGACCTTTCTGTACTACCCTTGAACTTCCTATGGGCTATAGTTTCAATGTTTGTTTCCTTCAAATCTCATGTTGAAATGTAATCCCCAGCGTGATGGTGTTGGGAGGTGGAACCTTCTGAAAGGTGTTTGGGTCATGGGGGTGGATTCTTCATGAATACATGAATGCCCTTGGAGGACATAGGGCTGACTCTGTTAGTCCCCAGGAGAGCCCAGCACCTCCTCCTTGCCTTGCTTCCCCTCAGCCTTCTGACATGAATGAAAGCATCCTGAGGCTTTCACCAGATGCTCAATCTTCCAGCCAGCGGAATCGTGAGCCTAAGAAACCCTTTTTCTTTATAAAGTATCCAGTGTCACATATTCCTTCCTCAGGTATCCTACCCATTCCCTGCTTTTTTGTGCAGTCTGAGTGTCTGAGGTCTCAGGAGTACCCCACGGAGAACAAAGCACCTTGTTCTTCACCTTCAGGTTGAGATTGCTCAAGGAGCCTGAATCTCAGAGAAGGGAGAGAGACCCCCAACTCCACATCCATGCAATATACTTGATAGTTGCCCAGCAACGCAAAAGGACTGCGACACTATAAATCTATAGTACTGAAAAGTTAACAGCTTTAAAAAACGATTGTCCAAATCATTTTGTCTGTCTTTTTCACTTTGTTTTGTTTTTTTGTTTTGTTTTTTAGACAGAGTCTTGCTCTTATTGCCCAGGCTGGAGTGCAGTGACGCTATCTCAGCTCACTGCAACCTCCACCTCCCAGGTTCAAGCTATTCTCCTGCCTCAGCTTCCCGAGTAGCTGCAACTACAGGTGCATACCACCACACCCAGCTAATTTTTGTATTTTTAGTAGAGAAGGGGTTTCACCATATTGGCCAGACTGGTCTCTAACTCCTGACCTTGTGATCCACTCACCTCGTCCTCCCAAAATTCTGAGATTACTGGCGTGAGTCTCCCTGCCTGGCCCCTTTTCACTTTTAAAATGTGAGCCCATCACGCTGAATGGGGCTCCTCTGGCTCCTCACAGGGCACTCGGCGTTTGGGGGGGCAATGACCCTGGCGTTATGTGGACACAACTCCAGAATGCTCTGCAGCCAAATCTCTCCCAAAGTTTCTCATCTCTCTTCCGGGACACGTTTTTCTCCAGAAGTAACCTCCCTCTGGAGAAGGAAGGGGAGAAGGCCGGAAGTGGCAGAAGCCTGGTGGGAAAGAGTCCAGTCACAGCTGCCTCCCAGCCCACTAGAGAGCAGCAGAGGATGGATAATGGTTCTCGGCTCTGCACTGGAGCCGTTGGAATCTCAGGCAGGAGAAGGGGAGGGGCTCTGCCCAGAAGCCTCTCCCTAGCCGGACCACTGAAGGTGCAGAAGCAGCTTGAGCATTTCCAATTCCCGATAAAGAGGGAGCCCAGTTGGGGTCAGTGGCTCAAGCCTCTAATAATAGCACTTTGGGAGGCTGAGACTGGAGAGTTGCTTGAGGCCAAGAATTAGAATTTGAGCAACGTAGCGAGATTCCACCTCTACAAAAATTTTGAAAATTAGCTGGGTGCAGTGGTGCATGCCTGTAGTCCTACTCAGAAGGCTGAGGTGGGATGATCATTTAAGCCCAGGAGTTTGAGGCTTCAATTAGCCATGATTGTGTCACTGCAGTCCTCTAAAACAACAACAACAACAACAACAAGGGAAGAGCCCTATGCCAAGCAAGGTCTCCTGACCTTGGGATTAAAGATGGGGAAGGACTGAGGTAGACTCCGTATGGCCACCCATTCCCTGCTTTTCTTTTGTGCTGAGTATGTGAGGTTCCAGGAGTACCCCACTCAGAACAAAGCACCTTATTCTTCACCTTCAGGGATGAGCTTGCTCAAGGAGCCTGAATCTCAGAGAAAGCACAGAGACCCCCCAACTCTCCATCCATGCAACACGCATGACAGAGTTGCCCAGCTGTTCCTGCACGGGCCTCAACCTGCAGGCCATGAACCCATCTGAAACGGGCTCAAAGGGAGAATGAGAAAGGACCTTGGAACATTCCCAGAGACTAATCTGGGAGCTCACTGTGTCAGCTAAAGGTATTTTCTAGATGATTCTTCAGGGCCAAGGAGAGGTCGAGCTCCTGGCCTAGGATGGAGGCCAATATTTTTTCTCTTCTGACACTCTGTGTGCTCCAAGAGATGGTGTGAACACGAGAGAATCACTCTGCAATTGTACTAGCTGTATGTTCTTAGACAAAGTGCATTACCTCTCTTGGCCCCAGTTTCCTTATCTGGATAGTATGGGGAATGACAGTTCTCTTTTCTGGAGTTACTATGATGATTAAATAAAGAAAGAAAGTAAGCGAGACTCCGTGCGAAACATCTGCCACCTGCCTGGCGATCCGTAAACCTTTTCCTGCGCCCCCTGTCGGCGCTGAAACAGTTCTGCCTCTTGTATCAACCCCGACTGCAGTATTCTTCATAGCCACCAGGAGGCGGTGTGGGACCACGGCGCCTGCTTTGCCCACAACTAGACTCACTGTGGAGGAAAGGAGAGAATTCTCAGCCTGAAGAGCAGCCAAATTGGAGCGTCGGAGAGACACTGGATCTACCTTCTTGTGCTGGAGTTGCCCACTCGTCTTCACAGGCCGAAAAAGAACCAGGGTAGGCATGGCAGAGGCAACAGGTGGGGCGGGGAGCCAGGGAGTGGAAACGCCGCAGGCTGGGGGGCCCGGAGTCCCCGCTTAGATTCCGATTCCGGAGGTGGCCAATTTCGGGACCCTATCCAAGTCCCATTCGGGACACCTCCCTCAAAAGTAGGGGTGGGAAGGGCATAAACCAGTCAAGTCTCTCCCAGGCCTTCCGCAGCAATCTTGCCTTAGCGTTAACGTGTTATTCATTGGACTGGGAAACAGTCGGAGAGCATTGACTAAGAAATACTCAAACCTGGGTTGGGCGCGGTGGCTCTCGCCTGTAATCCCAGCACTTTGGGAGTCCGAGACGGGCAGATCACCTGAGGTCAGGAGTTCAAGACCAGCCTGCCAACTGGTGAAACTAAAAATACAAAATTAGCTGAGCGTAGTGGTGGGCGCCTGTAGTCCCAGCTACTTAGGAGGCTGAGGCAGGAGAATCACTTGAACCTGGGAGGCGGAGGTTGCACTGAGACGAGATTTCGCCACTGCACTCCAGCCTGGATGACAGAGTGAGGCTCCGCCTCAAAAATAAAAAAAGAAAGAAATACTCAAACTGGAAACCCATGGATAAATTAAATTCTCTCGTCGTTATCATTTTTTAAAGATAAATCAAATTGCATCTTTTTTTTTTTTTTTTTTTTTTTGACAGGGTTTCATAGCTGCCCAGGCTGAATGGAGCGGCACAATCACAGCTTACTGCAACCTTGACCTTCTGGCCTCAAGTGATCCTCCCACCTGAGCCTCCTGAATAGCTAGGACTGCAGGTGCGTACGCCCCACCATGCCTGCTAATTTTTTATTATTTGTAAACACGAGATTTCCCTAGGTCGCCCAGGCTGGTGATCCTTCCACCTCGGCCTCCCAAAGTGCTGGAATTACAGGCATGAAGCACCACACCTGGCCCATAGCATTCTCTTTAAAAAAAAATATTCCAGCCCAGGCATGGTGGCTCATGCCTGTAATCCCAGCACTTTGGTAGGCTGAGACTGGAGAATCACTTGAGGTCAGGAGTTTGAGACCAGCTTGGCCAAGATGGTGAAATCTGTCTCTACTAAAAAAAAAAAAAAAAATGAATTGCTGGATGTGGTAGCAGGTGCCTAGAATCCCAACTACTCAGGAGGCTAAGACAAGAGAATCGCTTGAACCCAGGAGGTGGAGGCTGCAGTAAGCAGAGATGGAACATTCCGCTGCACTCCAGCCTGAGCGACAGAGACTCCATCTCAAAAAAAAAAAAAAAATGCATTGGCTTCCCATAACACCTAGTATATATTCCAAGACACACTCTCTGCCATCATGACCACAAAACCTACAGAATCTGACCCCTCCTGACTTTCCATTGACCTTCCGTTTCACCTCCACCCTCTCCTTTTTGAGCTCCATCCCAGGCACTTTCCACGTCTTGGGCCACTGCATTTGCAGTTCCCTCCCCCGGGACCCTGCCCTTTCAGAAGTCTGCAGGCCCATTCTCTTCGGGGGCCTCCGTCTCCACCAACACCACCCCCACCCCGAGCTCCTCCCTGAACCACTTCATCTTTCCTTCACAGCACAAAGGGCTCCTCTGCCTGACATCACCTTGTGCGACTGTGCTTATCAGTTCCCTGTCTTTCTGACCCAGGAATGTGTAAGCGCCCTGAGGGATGGGGTTGTGTCTTCCTGATGCTCAGTCACTTAATATGCACTTGCTAAATATTAGTGGAATGAGTGAATGACTTAATGAATTAATCTACAAACTTTGGGGGCTCAGGAAGGATCTTGATAGTGGCAGCTGTTGGTAAATTTAATTCAGTTTGTATTGTTGTGTGGTCATTTTGTGCCTACTGTATGGCATTCGGCATCATCTCATTGCCGCTATGCATTGCCATGAAGAGAGTAAGGCAGCAGGTAAGTTTGATCTGAGCCCAGAGCACAGACCTTAGGCGCAGCTCATCTCTTCACTGTTTTCTTCCCATTCTTGGAGTGGCAGCCGGAACACACACACACACACACACACACACACACACACACACACAGCACTGCTCCCTCTTCCCCTGCCCGGCTTCCCGAATCCTTCCTTCTGGGTCTGGTGTCCTGGTGTCTTGAAGATGCTGGGGAGGTACAGCGACGTCGCTCTCCCTCTCTCATCCTGCGCTCTGACACGCTGGCCCTGCTTCCCCAGAGCGCGGTCGCCTCGGACTTGTGTCTGTGTTCCGGCCTAAGGCAGCCTGAGCCTCCGGAGATCCTCAGCAGAGTCTTAGGACAGCGCACAGGGAAGGACTGGCTCGGAGCTGCGCGTTCCCTGGCCGGCCGGCGGAGGGCGAAGAGCCGGAAGGGCCGGGAGACAAGGGTAGCAGGGTGTTGGGGAGGCCGCAGACGCGGACTGCGTGGAGAAAGCACGCGCCGGGGCAGGAGTCGCCGGGAAGGGGGATGGCAGAAAGCAGCCCTCTCTGGAGCATTATATTCTGACCCCCACAGGACGCCACCGCGTGTAACAAGTGTGCGAGTGGGACTGGCGTGTGCGCGTGGGCACTTACACGTTCCCAGGGAGGCTGGGGGCAGGAGCATCACTGTTCACACACAGAGCGCTTAGAGGAGGAACGTTTCAGTTTGGGGGCAAAGAAAAAAAAGGAGTTAAAGGTTTAGGAGTTGCGGAAGGAGGATGGAGCTTAAGGAGGCAGTGAAGCCGTCGGGGCGGGAAGCGCGGGGAGGGAGAGTGCCTGGGCCGGCTTCTCGCCTATTCTACGCAGAACTTTTCTCTCCTCCTTCTTCCCTTGCTCTGCCTCTCGGGGCGGTCTCCGGGGACTGTCTCTCACATCCATTCTCCTTTCCTCCTTGATTTATGCTGCAGCGTGGAACGACCTTCCCTGACCTCATTTTCATGTCGGAGCGAGCACACCCGGAGCCGGCTACGCACATTCCGGAGGAGACGCACGCTGACAAGCACTCACATATACACACACACACACACACACACACACGCACACGAGACGCGGACTGCAGGGCTCTGCCCATCCGTGAGTTCACACCAGCCCCGCCACTATTGTGGGCACTGCCGGGGCTGTGGCCGCTCAAAGAATAGATCCTCATTAGCATCTTGCTTTGAATATCATTTGCATTTTATTCATTTCATGTCAAAACGCTCAGCACTCTCCCCAGCCCGCACCTTCCCCAGAGCTTGGGAGTCATGAGCTTCCAGCTCAAACCCCTTCTCTGAAGGCCCCACGCTTGCTGGCTGCCCCCGCCCCACCCACCCTGCGTCACAGCCCCCACAAAGCGAGTTGACTTCTCCTCAGCTCTTGGCAAGTTGCAACTCCTGCCCTGGGAAGGGGGGGCATTGTCTCATCTAATCCTGGCACCAACCCAAGGAGCAAAGCACTACACTATACCCATTTGAGAGTAGAGGAAACTGAGTCACAAAGGTGACCTGACCAAGGTCGTGGAGCTAAAAACTGAAACCCAAGGCGACCAAACACCAAACGCAGAGAGCTTAACCACTTCGCTTCCCCGGCTCAGGCAAGGTCAACGCTAAGGTATAACTGCCAGGACAAAGTCTGTTTTCCTACGTGGTAGAAAGTCCTCGGGCCCGTCACGACCCCTCCCACAACCCGGCCGCGGGAGGACCAGGGCACATTCCCAGTGCCGGCGTTCGCTGCACCACCTCGCCTGGCCGCTCGGAGTCCTGACCCCTTCCCAGCGCTGGCTCGGCCGGGTCCGGCCGCGGTGTTCGCGGGGTCGTCCGTCGGCGCTGGCTAGTTAAGAAAAATAAACAACGTTCCAAATGAGGGCGATTCCTTTCAACCCAAGCCCCGCTGCCTGCCGGAGAAATGCAAACAGCGGGGTACGGCCGGAGGCCGCCCCAGCCCCCGCGCCTGAGCTGCGGGTGGCAGGGTCTGGCCGCCGTAACCCGAGCCGCTGCGCCGGCTCCCCGCGCGCTGACCTCCGCCTGCCCCTTCGCCCCTGACCCCTCCGGCGGCGCGCCGGGCCTGCGCCCGCCACCCCCAGCGCCCCCCACCGGGCCAGGACCCCGGCCAGCGGTCCGCGGCGCCCCTCTCTGCCCCCTTCCCCCAGCGCTCTGGTCCCCATCCCGAGCCGCCACCCTGGGATCCTCAGCCCTCCAACACCCTCGCGGCCACGGGGCTCCTGCGAGCGACGCTCCCCGGCGGCAACCGCGCGCTGGGATCATTCAACACCAAGAAAAAAAAATGCACTGGGAACGACAGAAACCCGCCTTAGCGAACTATTTCCTAGTGGATCAGACGTGGGGTACTGCTTCCAGATACGACCCCTGCTCAGCCTTCAGGGTGCGGCCGGGACTACCACGGGCGTCACCGCGGAAGGCCTGACCTGGCCCGGCACAGTGTGGCCATCGCGGGCCCACAGAGGCTGAAGGGGTAGCTATGTTGGGTGGGGGTGTCCACCTGGGCAGACCAGGCGAGCCTCGCTCCCTGCGCGGGAGCTAGTTTTCCCTTGATCTTCCGCGACCGAGAAGCCTGCGTCTGGGACCAGCAGAGGGAGCTGACCGGCGGGTGCAGATAACCCCGTTCGCGTCCAAATTCCACTTCGAGGAAACGGAGCCCGGCGCGCGGTCCTCGCAGGACGCTACAGCGCCACCCTCGTTTGTACGGCTGCGCGAATGATTCGAGAGAGTCTCGGTGGCTGCACGTGAGTGTGCAAAGCGGGAAGGAGTCACGAACAGTCCGGGGCGCAGGGCGAAGAAATCCTGCGACCTCGGCAAGGGGCCTCACCACTGGAAAAGGGGGTAGCTACGCCCCGTTGTAGGGGCGTGGGGGGACCTGGCCTGTAGCAGAGGCCTCGTGATTCGCCTTGGCCTCACCCCTTTTCTAGGCCACTTGGCCAGCGTCTGGAGACCACCACTGAGGGGTGAGGGTGCTCGAGCGTCGGTGCAGGGAGTGTTGGGAGGGGCGGCGGTGCACCCGCTTCCTCCGAATTCCTGCAGCGCTACGCTCGGCCGCACTGAAAGCGGTGGGAAACGCCAGGCGTAAAGCTCCTGATGGCTTCGTGAGAGTCGGGGACAGGTGAAGACGCAGATCCCACGGGCTTCCTGTCCTCTTTATCCCCAGCTCCTTTTCGCGGGATAAGCGTGTCTGGCTTAAGGACTTAAGTGCAGTCTCCCTGCGTCCCTGCCTGAGCTTTCCAACTCCCAATTATTTCTCGGAATTGGGAGCCGAGGGCTCTCCCTGGAGCAATGCTCACACACGTGCGCACTCGCCTAGACTTCCCAACCCGCTCCCGACGTCCCTCTGCGCCGCGGGGCTGCGCAGCTCTTCTGCAGCCGGGGCTCCAACACCGCTGGAGCTCCAGGCCCTGACTTTCCCGCAGTCTGTCGACCTGAGCGGCAATCAATACCAGTCCAGTGTGCCGGGCCGCTAGCTGGCCTCCACTCCTCCCGCTGCGCCCGCGCGCGCGCGCACACACACACACACACACACACACCGCATTAGAGATTCCCTTCTCGCACTTTCGTGAAGGGGCGAGATACAAGCTCGGGAGAATTCTCGCACTTTCGTGAAAGGGTGAGATAGAAGCTCGGGAGAATTCCTCTTTCCTCGAAGATTCCCTGCCTGGGCGTCATATGGGTTTTTTTCCCCCCATTGTAGTTTTCTTTTTTAAAAAAGTTTTCTTTAAAAGTAGAAAAAAAGTAAATACACCACTACCACCATCTCTTCGCAGCTTCCTAAGTCGGTCCCCTTTTGCCAGCTAAAACCCAGCAATTCTGGCATGAAGGAATCCTTTCCTCTTGGGGGTGGGGGGAAGCGCCACTTTGGAGACAGGTGATAAATCTGCGCTGCCTGAGTCGGTCCCTTACTCCCAACCCCTCACTTCCCATCACTCCTCCTCCTGGAGCCTGCTGTGTAGACAGGACCTCAAAGAGTTCCCGAGGGAACGAGTTTGAAAGCCGAGCTCCGGGTTCCCAGGAAAGTGTTTGACAGGTCAGCCCCTCGCTCTCCTCCTATCCCCCTCCTGTAAGTCCGGTCCCCTTCTTCCACCCCAACCCCCACCCTTACGTGGGACTCAGACACCGATCCCGGGGCGAGGATGTGGCTGACAGTTAAATTGCAATGTAGGCCGAGGGGGGGTAAAAGGGACCGTGTCTCTTTAACGGGCCCTGCAGACAAAGCGTCTCCCCTCGGAGCGAGCGGAGCCAGGCGCAGCCGCGCACAGACCTGTCAGCGCGTCTCACGCGCTTGGGAGAGAGTTTGCAAAGTCATAATTATATCTCTTAACCTGTCTTGCTCTCTGCAGAAGAAGGTCCCATTATATTGAAATGAGATTATTAGCCATCAAATACTTTCTTTCTCGGGAGTTTTTTTTTTTTTTTTTTTTTAATTCAAATACCTTAACGACTTGGCAATTGCATTTTGATCAGATTTAGTTGGCGCCCCAGCCTGGAGCGGGAGCAGGGGCGGGAAGGCAGCTGGTAGGGTAGGGACGCGGCGGCGGGGGGGCGGGGGGTGGGAGCCAGAAGAGTTTGCAAAGAAAAGCAACTCCTCTTTTGTCTCGCTCCTAGGTCTCTTATACCTGGCGAGGGCCTCGAGGCCTTGGGAGGGGGCTGAGATAAGGTAAGTTGGGGCAAAGTGGTGAGATGTCTTTTATCCCCTCAGGACCTGTGAGCTTAAACCACCTCTTTGAAAATGGAACGCGACTTTCAGGCGAAGCAAACGTGGAAGCCGAGGCTAAGGCCAGGCTGAGGAACTCTGAGGGCTACAGGAATAGGGGTGGGACTGGGGTACCAGGTAAGGACCGAGGCTGGAGCTGGGAGTGGCGCGGGATTAGCTGCTTCCTCTGGAGGTTGGCTCAAGGCTCACACCAGGTTCCTGGCGGATGGAATTTCAGTACGTAATAAATGGGGTTTTGCTCTACGTCCAAGGCCTGTCTGGTTTTACCAAAGATTGTGAGCCCCTTGAGTGGAGAGCCCATCTTGTTTCCAGACCCTGGAACCCCTGTCCCTACTGCCAACAGACCACCCCCTCCCCTCCCTGGTCTGGAGGAAGGATGTGAGGTAGAAGATTTTCCAGACTCTAATTTTAAAGCCCCTCACTTTGACTTCCCCTAGTGGGAGGAGGAGCCAGGCTTGTGTTTTTCTTGGCTTCAGCCCAGACTCAAGGAAAATATAGGGAACAAGACAGCCACCAGTCCCACCTCCCCCACACTGACCCTCATATTTCACGTACAATCCTGGTGGGTCCGAACAGCCTCTGTTCATATTTGTGATGACTATCTCTCTTCAATTACTCAAAAAGGCATTATGAAGATCCAGAGTCCAGAAACTTGACTTCTAGGCCACTTAGAACCACACCACCTTATTTGGCTCTTGTCTCTGAGCCTCTGTTTCTCTTTTTGCATAATGAAAGGCTTGGACTTTTATTTGGACATTATGTGTTCCCTTTAATCTCACCTCATTTTTCTGTAAAGAAGGTTCCTGACAGATGTGGTCATCTGGAAGATTCCATAGAGGCCATACCACCACTCTTCAGAAAAGCAGCCTCAGGAGGGTAGTACACAATGTTGGCTTTAAAAGCCTCCAGATATAAAATCTGAGAAACTTTGATAGTGTCAACTAAAGCCGAAGCATGCATATCATATGACCCAGCAGTGCCACTGGCAGGCATTGCCCCAACAGAAATGCTGACCTATGTTCACCAAAGGACATGTACAAAAAAAATGTTTACACAGTACTCTTCACAATAGCCCCAAATTGCAGACTACCAAATGTCTATTAGCTATAAAATTAGCTGTGATACAGTTACACACTGGAATACTATGTAGAAAAAAGGAAGAATTAGCTTTGCTACATGTAATGACATAGATAACTCTCCCATGCTGAGCAAAAGAAACTAGACCTGGCCGGACTCGGTGGCTCACAACTATAATCCCAGCACTTTGGGAGGCAGAGGTGGGCAGATCACTTGAGCACAGGAGTTAGAGACCAGCCTGGGAAACATGGTGAAACCTTATCTCTACAAAAAGTACAAAATTTAGCTCACCTGTAGTCCCAGCTACTGGAGAGCCTGGGATGGGAGGATTACTTGAGCCCAGGAGGTCAAGGCTGCAGTGAACTGTCATGGCACCACTACATTCCAGCCTGAGCAACAGAGTGAGACCTTGTCTTTTTAAAAAATGAAAAAGGAAAGAAAACCAATCAGACCCAAAAGTACATTCTCCATGGTTCCATTTATTTAAAGTACAAAAACAGGCAAAATAAATCTCTGTATGCTATTAGAAAGCAAAATCGTGGTTACTTAGAGAGGGCATAGCTAGAAGGGAATAGGAAGGAGGCTTCTGGGCCAGTGGTAGTCTCACGATTCTTGATGTTGTTGTAGAAGTGTGTTCAGTTTCCGCAAATTCATTGAGATGGGTACCTATGTTAAGTGTGTTTTGTGAATTTATAATTATTAAAGTCTGAAATAGGAATTTTCTTCTTCCCAGTCCTCAATCTCATTCATACACTCACATATTTTAATGCTCTGAACTCTGCAGTGGCAGAAAATCGCCCTCTTGCCCTGTGTTCAACACTGTAAGTATCAATGAATATATTTTATTTAGTCCCTGCCTTCAAAGGTTTGCAATTAAGTTTGGGAGGAAGATAGACACCCAGGAATCATGGAGGAGACTTTCTGATGGGATCGAATGAGTGGTTTACGCTTGTGTCATGTGAGCCTGACAGCTGAGGCCAAATCCCAGCTCCACCACTTACTAGCTGTGTAATCTTGGACGAGTGAATTCAATCTCTGACCCCAGAGATGTACGGGGTACGGAGAGGACAATGCTGGCATTTACCCATGGGGATGTTGTGAGGATTACACCAGATAAATTATATTTTTCTATAATAGCAACAAAGAATAGAATATGAAATTATTCCTTTTAAATGCTGTCTTAGTTCATTTGGGCTGCTGCAACAAAATACCATAGACTGGATGGCTTGTAGGCAGCAGAAATTTATTTCTCGCAATTCTGGGGGCTGGGAAGTCCAGCATCAAGACCCCAGCAGATCTGGTGTCTGGTGAGGGCCCACCTTCTCATAGATGGAGCCTTCTCACGGGAGCAGCCACTGTTCTCACCTGGTGTGATAGTAGGTCTGGTGTGGGCTGCTCAGAGTTCAGAGAAGAAAATGGTAAATGTGAATTGGGGTGACTGTGTATTCTACAATGCACAGAGCAGCTCCCACAACAAAGACATTTTCCACCCCAAAACATCAACGATGCCAAAGTGAAAAACCCTTAATCTGGAGGATAGAGAGGATTCGGTGGCAAAGGGAGAACATTCCCCAGGAGGAGAGAAAGATGTGTTCTGGAAGTTCAGATGTGAACTGAGGGTAGGTAGCATTGGAAGTGACCAGAGACATCCCTGTTCTCATCTTCATCCCTCAGGCTGCAAGCTCCTCATTCACCTCCCTGATCTCAGAATTCATGCTGTGGGTGGTTTATTTCCTGCTCTCAGGAGATACTTGGAAAAAGCAGAGCAGGTTCTCAGGAGATTTACCAGGCCACAGCATCACATGTGCCTTGGAACCACAAATGGAGGAAGCCCTTAAGGTGGAGGCATCTGACCCTCTCCCGGAGGCTCAGAAGGGGAAGGGACTTGTCTACTGTCATGCAGTGCAGCTAGGAATACTGAGACTCTACCCTCGAGCTCTGTTCTTAGAGTACAGAAAGTTAGGAGAGAACAGATGACAAATCTGGATTAAATGACCTAGAAGGGGAAATACGACACATTTTATAGTCAAAAAGGAAAGTCAGCACCCAACTTCGGAAGTGTTCAATAGAAAAATGTGATTGTCTAGGAGTAAGTATAATTCTGGATTCTAAAATCATGCCTAATAGCCATAGTATTCCAGAAAAGAGGAAATTTACATTGGTTAATCACTTTTTTTTTCCAGAAGCAATTTCTATATGTCAGGCACTGTTCTAAATGTTAGGGATACAGCAATGAAAAACAGAGGCAAAGTAGAACTTCATGGGGCATATACACTGAGGGAGAAGGATGACAGACAAGACAATGTAATGACAGGTATTTCACTGAGCACCTGCTAGGGGTTGGGTGTTCTTTATAAATATGCTCAATTTCACAAGAACATTTAAGATAGAAACCCTCAGATTAAGATGAAGAAACTGAAATTCAGAGAAGGCAAGTGACTTTCCTAAAGTAGAATGACTAATAAGTGTCAGATTCAGGATTTGAACTTAGTAGGCCATTCATGATAAACATAGTACACTTAGAGGGAACCTCCTTAATCTGATAAAGATCATCTACAAACCAACTCTTACAGCAGTAATCATGCTTAATGATGAAATAGTGAAAGTTTCCTCCTTTCTATCAGGACAAGATACAATGTCCACTATCAACACTTCTATTTAATATTGTTTTAGATATCCTAGCCAGGACAATAAGACAAGAAAATGAAATAAAAGACTTAAGGATTGCTAGAGGGAAAGGAGAAATATTATTCATGGATGATATAATTGTGCACATAGAAAATCCAAAATAATCTGCAAACTGCTAGAATTAATAGATGAATTTAGCCAAGTCACTAAATACAAGGGTTTGTTTTGTTTTGTTTTTGAGACAGAGTCTTGCTCTTTTGCCCAGGCTAGACTTCAATGGTGCAATCTCAGCTCACTGCAACCTCTACCTCCCAGGTTCAAGCACTTCTCACACCCCAGTCTCCTGAGTAGTTGGGATTACAGGCACCCACCATCACACCTGGCTAATTCTTTTATTTTTGTAGAGATGGGTTTCACCATGTTGGCCAAGCTGGCCTTGAACTCCTGACCTCAGGTGATTTGTCTGCTTCAGTCTCCTAAAGTGCTGGGATTACAGGCATGAGCCACTGTACCCAGCCTAAATACAAGATTTTTTTTAATATAAGATGGATGCATTAAGATAAATTGTATTTATCTATAATAGCAAGAAAAATTAGAAAATGAAATTCTGGTTTTCAAATGCTGCCTTAGTTCATTTGGGCTGCTATAACAAAATGCCACAGACTGGGTGGCTTGTAGGCAGCAGAAATGTATTTCTCATAGTTCTGGAGGCTGGGAAGCCCAGCATCAAGACCCCAGCAGATCTGGTGTCTGGTGAGGGCCCACCTTCTCACAGATGGCGCCTTCTCGATGTGTCCTCACTTGCTAGAAGAGGTAAAGCAACTCTCTGGGCCTCTTTTAAAAGGGCACTGATCCCATTCATGAGAACTCTGCTATCATGGCCTGATCACCTCCCAAAAGGCCCCACCTCTTAATGCCATCACCTTGACGGTTAGGATTTCAACATATGAATTTGGAGGGACACCTATTCAAGACTGGAACAAGAGTAATAGGTGGTTAATAGCTAAAGGGCATGAGGTTACTTTTTAAGGTGGTGAAAATGTTTGAAAATTGACAGTGATGCTGGTTACACATACCTACGAATATCCAGAAAACCATTGAATTGTATACTTTAAATGGGTGAATAGTATGGAATGTGAATTATATCTCCGTAAAGCTGGGATTCCTTTAAAGATGAAGGGCAGGTATTGCTGGGGCTCTCCTTCCCACATTACCAATCACTAGTGCTTACGAAAATCCCTTATAAAAGCACAATTTATGATAGCAGCAAAGCCCATCAAATGCCTAGGAATAAATGAAATGAAAAATGTACAAAACATTATTGAGGGAACTTAGAGACCTAAATAAATGTAGGGTTCTTCCATGCTCACAAATGGGAAGGCTCATATTGTAATGATATCAGTTCTCAAAACTGATGCATAGATTCCATACAATTCCAATCCAAATCCCAGCAGGTTTGGTTTTGGAAACTGAATTCAAGTGGATCTGGCTCTATGACTCACTGGAACATGGACACTATAGAAAAAGATCCCGGGATCACAGTGTCCCCTGTGTACAGGGTTTATAGGCAGCCACAGCTGAAAGACCATCAAGACCACAGGACCCTGAAGAACTCATTTGGGAGTAGAATGAGGAGACAAAAAATACTCTCAGTTAAAACAGACTCTTACCACGCTTTCAGTAGACACAAGAGAAAGACCCTAATTAACTAAATATATTTTCATTTAAATAAGAGTGGTAGAAAGGACTGGTCACCTTCCATATGTGACATCATGAGGGATATGGCTTCCCAGCTGGGGAGATGGCTCCCTTTATTGTGGATATAGGTGTGCAGAGATTCCTCTGGCAAGGACTTGGAGGGTGGGTCAATAAGTGTCTTAGGCTCATGGGTTCCAGCTTGTGCGTAAGACTGCAGGAGGCCCTTGACCTGTCCCAAGGCAGCAGCTGGGACTTGGCCTCAGACTTGGCTTGAGGAACTATGGGAGAGTTGAAGCTTGAAGTCAGTCATCAGAGGAGATGGCTGCTTCCACCCTGATGACAAGCTGAGGGGAACCCGAGAGGCTGGGCCGAAGGTTGTAGGGGGCGGGGATGCAGCACTGCCTTTGTCCTCAGGCTGCACCCACAGAGGCAGGGCTTGGCACATGAAGAAGCAGAGCTCATTTCCCAGTGAGGGAGAGGGTAGAGACCCCAGGATCCCCTCCATCTCCCATCTCGATCGCTTGAGATGCCAGGCTTCCCTAAAAAGGGAGAAAATTCAGAGGACAAGAGACTCAGAAGAAGAGAAACAAAAAGATGCAGGGGCAGCACTCCCCGCCCTGATATCACACTCACTCTGCTTCTTTCTGAAGGATGGTTTTTTCTGCAATGTGGACTCAGAGACAGATCCTACCACACAGCATCTCTTTATTTTATCTGAAAAGAGAAGGGAGAGGGGGAAACTGAGAGCTAGAGAACAGCAGCTGATGGCTGGGAATATCAGGGAGCCAGAGGAGTCTAAAGGAAGGCAGGGAGGTTGAAGAGCAAGGAGACATCCGGTTTCCACAGGCCGGAGGACAGAACTCTCCAACACCCTTTTCTTCCAGCACACACCTCAAGTAGGAGAGCTAGTCAGACTCACTCTTCTACATAGTCTATGCTGGGAACTGACATGTGAGGGGAGGGAAGAGAGGACAGATGTAACTGGAGAGAGAGGACACTTTCCCCACATCTTGTAGTATCTCACTGAGTTCATGAAAGTCTACTTAGTACATACTGTCAAGGGCTCCTGTCCCTACTATGATGTCACAGATGGGTGAGTGCTAATAAGCCCCTGTGCTGAGTCACTGAGTTGAGGACTCCAGGTTCTCCCTGGAGCCTAGAAGGTACTTGCTTCTTTCCAGGTGGTCTACTAAGAGCATGAGTTCCAGAAACATGTCAGCCTGTTTCTTTGTACTCATTCCTATGTCCTCAGCATGGTGAGACCTCAAATAAAGAATATGGCACCCTCCCTGTCCTCATAGAGCTTGCATTCTAGCTGGGGAAAAGCACACACCCAACACCAGTGTGAACACCACTGGGGCGCCTTCCCACATGGTGGATGGAGTGTGTTGGCACCAAGGCCCTTCCCTGCAGTCTGGAAAGTCCGGAAGCTTCCTGCTGGAAGAGAAAGGGTAGATAGAGGTGAGCTTACGATGGGAGATTTGGGTGGAGAGACCAGACAAAGCTTACAGAGCAAAATGCAAAGCAGAACCAGAAACCAGGTTCTGTGTGGCTAAGGTCATGGTTCATGTTTGTGGGAACCAGGGAGTGTGAGGGCGGGAAAGGCAGTGTGGACTGGAGGAGGGAGGGTAGTCAGCACCAGGGACTCAGGGCTTGGTGGGAGGCGGTAATGGAAAGCCCTGGGAGCTGAGAGAAGCTTGAGAATTACAGCAGTCAGGATCCTCACAGGAAACAGATGGTGTGTCCACACTCACGCTTGGAGAACTGGAAGAAAGCTTGATAAAGGGCACATTCATTGCCTGAAGCTGCCATAACAAATCACCACAAACCATGTGGCTTAAAACAGCAGCGATGTATTCCTCTCTGAGTTCAGAGGTCAGCAATCCACAACCAAGGTGTCAGCAGGGTGGGTTCCTTCTGAAACCATCCCATGCCTCCCTCTCTCCTCACACTTGGTGGCTGCCAGCAACCCTAACCGTTCCTTGGCTTCTAGCTGTGTCACTCCAACTTCTCTGCCTCTTCAGATAGCTTTCTAATGACACAGCCATTGGATTTAGGATCCACCCTAAGTCAATATGATGTCATCTTAACTCATTACATCTGCAGAGGTGCTCTTTCCAAAGAAGGTATTGGGGCCTGGGGGTGAACATAAATTTTAGGGGTGATGCTATTCAAAGGGACTATTTACAAAGGTGTGGACAGGTGTAGGTAAACTCCAAAGGCTACCTTGGTGTCCACGGCCATAAAAGCAGAGAACTGGAGCCACCCCTTGACCTTCAGGGTGTGGAGAAGGAACGAGAAGGAGAGTCGGGTACAGAAGTCCACCTTGAAAGAGCTGTGCTCTTTGATGGCACCCAAATCAACCCTGGGGGAAGGAATGAGCACCAAGTCCCCTTCCCTCACTCCCCTCCACTCTTACTCCTTCAGCCAGAGTGCAGAGAGGCCACTGGTGCAGCCCACACAGATCACTCTCCTGAGGCAGCCAAAAAAAGGGCTTCTGGGAAGGCAAGTGGATGAAATGACGCAATGACAAGAGGGGCAGATGGCAAGACATGCCAAGGGGAGCCTGGTGGAGATCTTGGGTAGGGTGGACATCTGGACAGGATTATAGGGGGACAGTGTCTCCTCAGCCCTTGGGCCTGCTGTTCTTTAGACCTCAGTCATGTGGGCAGGCTCCAGGGGCTCATCTATGACAGGCTAGGGAACCCCAAAGGTAACAGGATGAGCCCCATCTCCTGGGAAAGGAGGCCTGGTGGGGTTGCTCAAGGCATCTGAGTTCACACATTGGCCAGGACCAAATTCCATCATGGTTACGTTCATTGGCAGACAAGTAGCATTTTTTGGTTTGGGGTATTTCTTTTTAACAGAGTTTCGCTCCTTACCCAGGCTAGAGTACAGTGGCACGATCTTGGCTCACTGCAACTTCTGCCTCCCAGGTTCAAGCAATTCTCCTGCCTCAGCCTCTTGAGTAGCTGGTATTACAGGCATGTGTCACCATACCCAGGTAATTTTGCATTTTTGGTAGAGATGGGGTTTCACCATGTTGGTCAGGCTCGTCTCGAACTCCCAACCTCAGGTGATCCACCTGCCTTGGCCTCCCGAAGTGCTGGGATTACAGGTGTGAGCCACCATACGTGGCCAGCATTTGGGGTACTTTCTTTTATGGGCTTTATTTTTTAGAGCAGTTTTAGGTTCACAGCAAAACTGAGCAGAAAGTACAGTGAGTTCCCATGTACCCCCTTCCCCACATACACATAGCCTCCCCACTATCAACATCCTGACCTGGAGTAGCACGTTTGTTACAGTCAGTTAATCTACGCTGACACGTCATTATCACCAGAGTCTATAGTTAACGTTCGGGTTCATATTTGGTGACGAATATTTTATGGGTTTGGACAAATGTATAATGCCATGTATCCACCATTATGTATCATGCAGAGTAGCTTTACTGCCTAAAAATCCTCTGCACTCTGTTCACCAACCCCTGGCAACCACCGATACTGTCTCCATGTTTTTGCTTTCTCCAGAATGTCATATAGTTGGAATCATACAGTATATAGCCTTTCTGGACTGGCTTCTTTCACTTAGTAATATGCATTCAAGATTCCTCCGTGGCTCTTTATGGCTCAATAGTTCATTTATTTTTAGCACTGAATAATATTCCACTGTCTGGACTCATCACGGTTTATCCGTTTGCCTACTGAAGGACATCTTGGTTGCTTCCAGGTTTTGGCAATTATGAATAAAGCTGCTATAAACATCTGAGTGCAGGATTTTGTGTGGACATCAGTTTTCAATCATTTATGTTAAATACCAAAACGCATGATAACTGGATGGTACAGTAAGAGCACCTTTAGTTTTATAAGAAACTACCAAACTCTTCCAAAGTGGCTATGTCATGTTGTACTCTCACCAGCGATGGATGTGAGTTCACTTAGCCAGCATTTGGTGTGACACCCAGTTTGTTTTGTTTTGTTTTTTGAGATGGAATCTTGCTCTGTCGCCCAGGCTAGAGTGCAGTGGTGTGATCTTGGCTCACCACAACCTCCACCTCCTGGGTCCAAGCAATTCTCCTACCTCAGCCTCCCAAGTAGTTGGGATTACAGGCATGCACCACTATGCCTGACTAATTTTTTGTATTTTTAGTAGAGATGGGGTTTCTCTATGTTGGTCAGGCCAGTCTCAAACTCCCGACCTCAGGTGATCCACCTGTCTCAGCCTCCCAAAGCGCTAGGATTACAGGCATGAGCCACTGTGGCTGACCATCCCTACCTTTTTAATCACCAACTTCAGGAGCCTCTGACCTCAGCTTCTACCATTCTCCTCATTGCACTGTCCTCTGCCAATTTACAACCTGAATTTATAATTGCAAAGACCTGGACTGCTTCTGCTGACACATTTAAGGACCTGTTAAGATTTATGTCATTCAGCCCCAGGTTTAAGAGAATTCTAAATAACCAAGTAACTTCTCTCAGAGGTTTATTCTCTTGATACTGTTCATGTTTTTGGAATTGCTTTCTTCTATTCATTTGTTATCAATTCACATGTACTGAGCACCCTCCTGGGCTCTAGGAAAATAAGGTTAAATACGAAGCAGTCTCCACTCTGCAGGTATTCCTAATCTAGTAGAAAAACGGCCAGGTAGACAGCGTGTGCTCTATGCACAGGAGGCTTTCTTCTTGAGCCCCAGATAAGGGGACACCTAAACCAGCCCCATACGATATTCAGAAGATGCCTCTAACCCTGCACAGGATGCCTAGGGGGCTGGTTGAGGTGTCCCCTTCACTGGGGCTCAAGAAGAAAGCTCTTTCAGATTCTTCCCCTTCTCCTCTTGAATATCACCCGATGTATAAAAGAAAGAAAAAAAAAAAAACAGAAATACCACTCCATTTTCAATGGAGCTATGAGATGCCTAAACCCCCGAAGCACAATAAGAAACAGAAAGCAGATGACACAACAGCATATGAGCTAGCAAGGAGGAGTAAAGTCAAATCCCTGTGGCTGCAGGAGGTATCAAGGAAAGGAAAACCTATTGGCTACAGAAAACCTAGGAAAAAATCATTAATGGGAGATACCGGATACTGCAGAAAGCAGAAGCGAGGCAGAGGGTCTTGCACAGGGATTATCACTGTGAGGAGTAGTGAGGCCACTCTAGGGACCCACTTCTCCTTCCTCAGTAAGGCCGTCCTACCTCCCCAACCTTGGATCCCCGGGAGTTTGTTCTGGAGTTACAGAGCTACGAAACAAGTCAACCAGGGAAGCTCCAAAATGGGAACATCCAACGGCCCAGGAAAATCAAAGCAGAGCTGCTGGAGAGCCTCCTAACCCTTCCCCACTCAGCCCCAGACAGCAGCACTGGCTCCCCACAGGAGACGGGAGAAGCCATCTCAGAAGAGGACAAATGACCCCAGAGAAAAGACCAACAAACACTGGCATTTGGAAATCCCAGTAAAAGTAGCTGGCTGGCCACTTGATCAAGGCACTGCAATGCACAAGTCCACCCATGCGCTTCCAATGAGAAACACCCAAGAATAATCAAGTGTTCAAGAAAAGCATCAAAGATAGTAGGGAATAAAATGAACAAGGGGAGAGAAATAGAACTCATGAAGAAAAGCAGCAACAGTAGAAAGCAAAACAACTCAAAGAAATTACAATAAATAGCTTCAGAAAGATAACAGAAGATATTACATCCGTGAAATAAAAAGAAACAAAAACAGAATGCAATACTTTAAAAAATAAAGAGGAACAGGCTGGGCACGGTGGCTCACTCCTGTAATCCCAGCACTTTGGGAGACCGAGGTGGGCGGATCACCTCACGTCAGGAGTTCAAGACCAGCCTGACCACCATAACGAAACCCCGTCTCTACTAAAAATATGAAAATTAGCCAGATGTGGTGGCACACACCTGTAATCCCAACTACTCAGGAGGCTGAGGCAGGAGAATCACCTGAACCTGGGAGGCAGAGTTCGCAGTGAGCTGAGATCATGTCATTGCACTCCAACCTGGGTGACAGAG